TGTAAGTTCAGTCGTAAAACACACATTTTGCATGCAGAAGATACCAGGTTTAATCCTTGCATCTCCAGAAAGGCATTGGAAAGACACCCTGACTGGAACCCAACCCTAGAGAGTTGCCCCTGTATATTTTGATTATATGTAGTTATCAGTTTGCTTTATTATATTATATGTTTTGTATTTTATTGGAATAACTCATTTTATAATCGTGTTGTATAGTTTTATATTTTTATAATTCCTTCCCCTTGTCTCTCTCTCTCTCTCTCTGTATACAAATGCAGCTATGTACTTCCAAAAAAACCCCAAACCCTAATATATGAAGACTACTGAATAAAAGGGGACAGATTCACAACATACAAAGTAGAAGTTACATGTATGTCAAAAAAAAGTACATAGAACAGTTCTTAATTTTCAATCTCCTGAAATAATTGTAGTGCAACAAATTTACTGGAATTCACCGGAAGTCCTTATTCTTTATGCTGTTGGCTGAGAACTGTCTACGAACTTTTTACAACATAATTCTTGTCAGTAAATTCAATTAATTGATTGATTATAATGCTTTCCTGTTCTTTCCCACACACATAACTTTTACTTTGTACGTTGTGTGTATGTGTACATGTACAGACATATTTTAGATTGTGTGCCTTTGGCAAGACCCACTGTTTTTGGTTGTTTTGCTTGTAAAGTGTCATGTACATTAATGGCGATATATGTATAATAATAATAATAATAATAATAATAATAATAATAATCAGTTTTAAATACTCTAGGTCCTTATCGGGATTCTCTGTCTTCTTTCCTCCAGTGACAGATGCAGGGATGAATGAGATCAAGCCTCTTCAGCCAGAGAGACCTGAATCCCTTAAAGTCAGCAGGATGCTCATGGCAAAATCTATGGAGAAATGTAGCCAGGATTCCTTGCTATTAGGGAGTGAGAAAGAGGAGCAGAATCTTCAGCCACAAAGATCCAGGAAAGATGAGGTGAATGAAATTGTTTTGCAAAGAGCCAGAAGGACACATTTTCATTTGCCTGAGATGGATACAAGTCCTATAAATGAACAAGAGTTGAAACAGTCTCAGGACAACTGTCTGGGAAACGTCCTAAGCCTGAATGTGGACTGCAGGGAGGAAGGCAGCCTATATTTAAACAAAAGCCTCTCCCAAGAGAGTGCCTCTGAGTACTTGTTGACAAAAAAAGCTGTGGACTGTGGGCAGAGCTTTCCCCCAAATCCAGACCTAGTCCTGTCTGCCAAGGCCCCGGCGTACAAGTGCTCATACTGTGGGAAGCAGTGGCCATGCCAATCTCAGCTCCGCCGGCACATCAAAATCCACACGGGCGAGAGGCCGCACAAATGTACCGACTGCGGGAAGAGCTTCAGTACCAGCTCAAACCTCAGCCAGCACAAAATGGTACACACGGGCGAGAGGCCGTACAGCTGCAAAGACTGTGGGAAAAGCTACCGGCGCCGGGCCTCCCTGCTCCAGCATGAGAGAGAAACGTGCCGGAAGGGAAGCCACTTCAGTCCTCCACCGGCAATGGGTTACATGGTGTTGGGGAACTGTACTTTGCTGTGCATGAAAAAATCGACGCAGGGCAGGAGGAACTGGGTGATTGCTCCCAAGGGAGGGGAAGCCCCTTTGGCAGCTCAACCCTTAAATATCTTAATGGGAAACCCCCAAGAGAGAAGTCATGCTGGCAATTAGAGCATGGAGGAAATGTCCCCTGCGGATGGGAGCTTGCTTGGCGAGAGAGAACTCTAGGTGGGAAAGAGAGCTGCTCTGAGCTTGGTGGAAGGGTCGTTGGGCAGTCAATAGTTGTGCAAAGCAGATCTGTCCCAAGCCAACACAACATGTTATTCCTGAGTGTGTTTGGTTCTAGCACATTCT